ATGTTTGAAAGTATGTTTTCTATTTCTTGAATATGTAATCTGTTCCAGAAAATCCTATATTTTCTGATGTATATGAAAAGTAGTTTTAATCACATAAAACCGTTCTGTTTGTAAACCAGTGTTCAGTTATTGAATCCCTTTTTGTATAAACTGTAAAAGTGAGTGTGCCTGGTTCCACCAGCTGTTATTGTAAACTGTAATGTAATACTGTAGATTGTATTTTGTAAACTAGTACTTTGAAGATGTACTTATGTTTAGTTAATTATACACTAACTTATTGTTAATATCTTTTTAATGAGTTATTATAACCATACTGAGACTAGATGGTCTGACCCAACGCTTTGAAGGCGTCAAAAACTGTTGATAACAACTGTCACTCGTAGCGTGTATGCCTGGCTGTAGCTAGCAGTCTGAGTGCGGGGTTGTCAATCCCAATATAGATCTATGCACACTTGTTTCGATCCCCGACTGGAGATTCTGGTTATAATGTCAGGACTTTAACTATGTTGTTTAAATAAATTAAACAACCTGAATCAAATGACTTATAAAAAGCATATAGACGTTACGTGTATAAAAGTTGTGAAAACTCAATCATTCTGAAATAAATGATTGATAGTATGTTCCTGAATTAGTATTATTAATATGTATATGAAAAATGTATACCCTTGATTAGTTTTGAATCAAACCCTTGTTCTTGTAAAACGGTGTACTCTAGTATACTTGAATCGTGAATTAATGTTCTATGAATCATAAATTATACCTATTATAATTTATATGTATTTTCTGAGTTGGTACTAACTGTTCATGAATGCAACCCATTGCTCAACATGTTACAAAGGGTATTTGAACTGAATGAAATAACTTTTATATTTATATACATATATAAATATATATAAGTAAAATTTAAATGACATTCGGACAAATAACCGATACTTATAAGCCTACATCCAAACAAGGAAAAGGAACCAAAGTGAGTTATCAGTCCTTAGCCTTTTAAATCTTGTTTATATATATATATATATATATATATATATATATATATATATATATATATATAT